TCCGTCCACCTCGAGCGTCGCACCACCATACACCTGGCAGACTAAACAAGGCCCTCCTAGGTAAGCAGTGACCAGGCATACGTAGCACGTGCCCGAGCCAACGCAACTTATTCAGTGCTATCTACTGTTCTAGGGAGCTAGCATGATTATCACCACCTAGTACCCGACTATGCACATCATCGTTGCGGACACGCTGATGCCATCCGACACCAGCAATGCTTCGCAGACAACAGTGATCAAAGACTTGAAGGCGCCTCAGATCTTCAGACCGAAGGGGCCAAGTCCCACTACCATAGAGCAGAACGGCCCTCACTGTGGCCTTGTATACACGGCCTTTCAGAAGGAGGGAAATTCTATTCTGTCGCCAAAGATGCCGCAGGTTTACGAAGGTAGCTTTGGCTTTCGCAATGCTTGAGCTCAGGTCAGTTTCTATGCGCCCATCAATGCTGATGCAGCTACCAAGATAAGTGAAATGATCAACCACTTCGAGTTCCTCGTTAGCAAGCGTCAAGGGGTCACCAAGTGACCGGAGCGAAGTGCAAACCAAATAATGGGACCACTCTGGATAGGCTACTCAGGGTTGATCGTGCTGCCCCAACATCGTCGAAAAGCAAGACGATATCGTCCGCATAATCTAGGTCAACTAACCTTTCACCAGGCAGTACTTCAACGCCTACATCGTTGGATTCCGCAAGGGAACACTCCATGATAGAATCCACGACGAAATTGAACAAAAATGGGGAAATCGGACAACCCTGACGAACGCCACTTGTAGTCGAAAAGCTATCCGATAGGACACCATAGACCCTGACGCAGCCTGTAGTGTTCGAGTATAGAGCACGAAAGATGTTCACATATTTCGTGGGAACACCTTTCCACGCAAGTAATTCGAACAGAATCGATCGATCGACTGAATCGAACGCACTCTTGAAATCGAGGAACACAGCTATTGTCGGTCTGCGGTATGCGTGGTGCTGCTCCAACACCTGTCGCAAAGTGAATATATGGTCTATACAGCCACGTCCTGGGCGGAAATTGGCCTACTCTTCCCTAATCCGAGATGCCCGTTCTGCAGTGAGGCGAAGAATGATCATCGAGCCCAGTGATTTTTTCACACCTGGCGTTAGGCTAATACCCCTGTGATTAGAACAGTCTGTGCAACTGCGCTTCTTGTACCTTACAACTATAATCGATTCGCTCCAATTAGTCGGAACACTCACTTTCTTCCAGATACGTTCGAATATGGAGGTCAATGCTTGGCAAAGGACCTCACCTCCATCCTCAAATAGTGCAGGTTGGAGGGAATTCGGGCCAGCTGCACGAAAACGATTGAGGGTTGTGATCGCGTTTCGGACCTCGGCCTCCGACGGAGACTCTAAACTAACCGTCCATGGCTCCTCCTGCATCACCTGAGTAGGAAGAGGTCCGGGAGCAGGGGGTCAGCTGAACTGGTCTTGAAACCGTTCCGCCCAAGTAGCCATACGGCGCTCCTTATTGTGTATCAGCGCACCCGCGCTGTCTCTGATTGTCTCACTGACGCCTGGTTTCCTGGGACCAGTGGTGTCGATTAGCTGGAAGAGCTTGCGGTAACTGCCTACTGTTCCTGCCTCCTCCGTTTCTTGATCCCGACTGATCCACCAGGCTTCCTTGTCAGCACGTAGGCTCCGCTTTAGTTCACGCCTAATAGCCCGTCTGGTCACACTGTGTTCAGAACCAGCCGGAAGGTGTCTTCTAGATTCCAGCAGCTTCACCGACGTGCCGGATATACAGTGACTGGTGCGGTGACGACTGACAGTGCCACAAGCAGATGCCCCTGCGTCGTGCATGGCGGCCGATATCCTATTCCACTGAAGTTCAGTGTCATTAGGACAAGACTGTGGAAGTTCGATACGGAGCGCCTCTTGAAAGGCTTGCATGACCGAGAGTTGAGACAATTTCTCCGTTGCCAATCGGAGGAGACGCTTTGTGCGTCTTCCGGTAAAGTTCATGGAGAAACGACAGCGCACCAAGGCATGATCAGAGTCGACACAGGTACTCTAGTACGAGCTGCAATCCAGAATGGAACCACGCCATCTGTAACTTATGGCTATGTGGTCAATTTGGGTCCATCGCTGGCCAGCTACAGGTGGACGCCAAGTGGCACTTCGGCGCCCACTGTGTCTAAAAGCAGTGCTACTATGAAACAACTGGCGCCCCGCACATAGTTGCAGCAGACGCTTACCGTTGTCAGTCCGTTCGGAGTTAAGCCCACAATTATCACCCAGCTGAGCTTCTGAAGAGCTCAGACGCCCTACATGAGCGTTCATATCCCCTGCAAGTACTATAATATCTGAACTAGTAGCACTGCGTAGTAGCCCGCTCAGTTCATAATAGCATGTGTCATTGACAGCATTGGGACTGCAGTCGGTGGGAGCATAAACGGAAATCACAAACAAACAGCGTTTTGTATTACTTCGCGAATTCACCTTAGCTGATGTCGTCAAACGGGCTGCACATAAACGACTGTTCCACAGAATCCAATCAACCAACGATGGCACAGCACTGGAGCTTAGAATGATATCTGTATGTATGTATGTATGTAATCTCAACAGTCTAGTAACTAGACATAGAGCCAAGAAAGCCATGGAAATCAGTGTATAAGAGACAGTCATTGCGTCATAATCGTCGTGGCATGCTAGCTGAAGGTGGGCAACACACTTCAGCTAATGTGCCGCAAGAAAATGGAATATTTTGACAAAAATACAGAACAAAACATTTTTAGTTTGTTTGTCACACACCGATTTTTCTCTTTTTTTGTCATTTTCAATGCTTGTAGAATTAAACATGTGAATCAACACAACACTGTACACAATTCTTCCATTGATTCCGGTTGCGGGCCATGTCTTCAAGTGTCCTAAGCCATTGGCACTCCACATCTTTGGGTCCCCATCCTGGAAGACGTACGGGTCCAACAGCGGCTAGACACGACGTCAGCGATTTCATGTGCTGCCGCCAAGTGGAAGGCTGACCACCACGCGGTCGCTTCCAGCCAGGTCCTTGACGAGCGAATAGAGCGCGACGCGGTAGACGCTCAGGTGCCATGCGTAGGACATGACCGAGCCATCTTAACTGGCGCAACAAAACCAGTTTGTTGAAGGAAATACTTGCATTCCCCAAGACGCGACGTCGAACGTCATTACTGGTAACTCGATGTTGCCACCGAACACGAGCGATCCTCCTTAAGCAACCGTTATCGAACGCAGAAAGACGACGCATGTCTTCCACGCGAATCGGCCAGGACTCGCTCCCATACAACAATACTGAGCGAACGGACGCGCTGTAAACTCGGCCCTTTAGTGAGAATGAGACGTCCCGACGACGCTACAAGTGCCTCAGATTGACAAATGCTGATCGAGCTTTAGCGATACGAAGCGAAACTTCTTTGTTGATTGTGCAGTCAGCGGAAACACAGCTCCCAAGGTAGACGAAACTATCTACCTGTTCAAGTTGTGCACCTTGGAGAGTGAGCACGGGTGCAGGTGAAAGCCAATCCTTGAGCAGTACCTTACACTTCGATGGGGCGAAGCTCATGCCATACTTAGATGCTTCAACCGCCAAACGATCCAGAATGAGTTGCATACCCTGAGGATCGTCACCAAGTTAGGCGATATCATCAGCATAATCTAAGCCGGTCGCGCGCTCACCCCGTAGAAGCTCTAAGCCAAAATGTTTGAACCCTTCTAGAGCATTCGACAGAACGTCTTCGATTGCCAAGTTGAAGAGGAATGGGGACAAAGGGCAGCCCTGTCGTACACCGCTATTGACAGCGAATTGCGAGGAAAGCTTGCCATAGACCCTCACTCTGCCGGATGTGTGAAGGTAAAGTGCTCGTAAGATGGCGATATATTTCTCTGGCACCAGCTTGACCCGTGAGTGCCGCATCGGCGTCTCCGGGTGCGTGCAACCAATAACGAGAGGATAAGCCGGGTGCAGGCAATTCAATAACCCGGTTAGGGTCATTAATCCTAGTTTCGGACACACAACACACATCAACACCCAGTGTGTCCAAGGTGCGTGCGAGTGCAGCCTGTTGATCTGTTTGTTTTAGAGTGCGAATGTTGAATGTCGCCATGGAAACGGGACAGCGTGGACTTATAAGGGACTTTTGCCGATGGGCGTCCGATAGGTGCCGTGGGATGGTGGCTGCAGATGGTTCTACTCCAGTAACACTTCGGTTGCTGACAATTAAGCTGGGAATTATAGAAGGAAGGTTAGTGATGGGGTCGGGATGGGAGTAAGAGAAACAAGTAGAAAAGAAAGGAGGCGCCAGCAGTGGCATGCTTTCGCTTATCCGCCCTGCTGTATGCAGCAGATAAGGCGACCCTTGATAATCTGCGCGACGGCCGATGCAGGATGAGGTTTATGTTTGAAGAAAATGTCATGGTTATATGTGGGCTGAGATACTGCCTGGGCGTCCAGACCTAGACAGTAGGACGATTAGGGTCCTCATCCAAAGCCTTTGGCTCAAAAGCCTGTCCGCAAGGCAGCGAAGAGGTGGCGATGATTTAGTTTTACAGAAAAGGACGCCATCCTATTTTAAACCCCTATCCTGGAGGACCAGGAGAATGAGTTTGTCTGACCTCTCATTATTGACCAAGCTGGTAAGCTTGGTTTTGTTTTATTTACGATAGACAATATATATTGTAATCCTATGTTCCTAATACAGTGATTCCGAGGCTAATGGATGAAAACTCTGTCTCGATGGAGTGATCAGGTCAGGTCAAATGATCGTTGGAATAGGGTAAACTATTTACACACAGCCCTTATGGAATATGCTACCAAATAAATTTTAAGGGCAAAATAGCAAGAAAGATTTTTGTAATTTCAAATTGGGGACTGGACGAATAGCGTAAAAAACACGCACGGATTATGGCTACTCTAACAAACGCAAAAATGAAATGGTAGGCAAAGAGAAGAGGAAACGAACATCACGATCTAGGATACGCCCGACGACATCTTACTTGTTGACTTGCTACAGTTGTGATGTGCGTCCGATCGAAGGTTCCGAGGGCTTCCGTTTACGCGGGCGTATGTGGGTCGTATTAGACCGAGAGGCCTGAAAGGCAAAGTAGATACTTCGTACGCGGCTGGAGAACCACCCAGTAAGTGTCGAAGCTGGATGAACGGTGTGCTGATGGCACATCTGGTGGCCATCATCATTATTCATTACACACGTTAGCTAGAGGTGGGAAACACCTCAGCTACTGTGCCGCAATACATAAAGGAAAATAAACACAACAGTTGCATGCCAGCTGAGCTACCAGCAACGGATAGCCATCGTTCCGGTAAGCTACCAGTCGGCTACTAGGGAAAAAGAAAAATTATTGTGTAAAATTATATTACACTATGAAATGAGATCGTGGTTGGAGGGGGAGGCTAAAAGGGATGTGGAGGGACAAAGAAACCGACAGCACGAACGCCACTGAGGTCGGCTCCCTGCCATGTCAGCAAGCGTATCTAGCCAAACGTGTTCATCGTCTTCTGGACCCCAACCAGGGAGCCGTGACGTTCCAACCGAGGCCAGCTCCGAAGTGAGGGCCTTCATTCTTCTGGACCAAGTCATCGCTCGGCCACCCCTCCTCTTCCATCCACATCGCCCGTGAGCAAAAAACGCACGTCACGGGAGTCGGTGGGTTGGCATGCGTAACACGTGGCGGAGCCATCGGAGCCTGATGCGTGAAATAACGATGCTGAGCGGTTCGGTTCCTTTTTCTGTGCCGTAAACAAGGCGTCGAACACGCTCGTTACTCACGCGGTGTTCCCACCAGATGTGAACCAAACTGCGAAGGCACCGATATTCGAACGTAACTAGACTCTTTATGTCTGCCGATCTTAGGGGCCAGGTTTCACAACCATACTGTAGGGTCGAAGGTACTGCTGCATCGTACACTCTACCCTTCAGGGCGAAAACTAGCAAAAGCACTTCAAGCTTTTGATATACGTTTCGTGATCTCATCTTCAATCTCAAGGGCGCTGATACAACTTTCCAGGTAGTTGAATTTCTGAAAAACTTCTAGCAGATCCCCACCAAGGGTCAGCGCAGGAGGCGATCCCTGTCAATCTTGGAGGAACGCTTTGCACTTCCATGGTGCAAAGCAAAGCTCGAAGCGGCTGACAGCCAGTGCTAATCTGTCCAGCGCCGCTTGGCACGTCTGGGAGCTGCCACAGATGAGAGCAATGTCACCTGCATAATCCAAGTCAAGAAGTCGTTCTCCTGGGAGTAGCTCCACAGCTTCTAAGTCATGTCCTGTAAATGCAATCGCCATGACTTCATCAATAGCGAAGTTGAAGAGGAAAGGTGACAACGGGCGTCCTTGTCTCACCGTTGGAGATATCGAATGGTGGCGACAGTTTGCCGTAAGCCCTCAATCTGCCCGAACTACACGCGTTTAATGCTAGGATAATATTTACATATTTCTCGAACACACCTTTCTTTAGTAGACAATGCCAAAGGGCACATCGATCAACCGAATCGAAGGCACCTTCGATGTCGTGGAACACGACTACGGTGGGTCGCCAATATGTGTGTTCCAACAACTGACGCAAGGTGAAGATGTGGTCGATGCAGCCGGGACCCCGACGAAACCCGGCTTGCTCCTCACGAATCTGGTTTTCACGAGCGCCAGTCTATGAAGGATTGTGGAGGCGAGTAATTTGGAGAAAATGGAGATCAGACTGATTCTTCTATGGTTACCGCATTCCGAACGCGAGACTCCTTTAAAGATGGGAACGGAGCTTCTCGAGTCAGTTGGGACAGTCTCCTGTTCCCACAGTTTCACTAGTAATTCATGTGAATCATCAACAAGAGCAGAGCCCCAGAATTTGAAGAGGGCCGGAGAAAGATCATCTGGTCCCGCGGCTTTGTTCAACTTTAACAGTCCGAGCTCACGTTTGACTTCTGAGCGAGAGGGTGGATCCAAGGGACAGCCTACGGAGCAGGAGGATCAGTGGCCGGCGAAGCATCGAACAATTCTGGCCAATTAAATTGCTTTTCAAAGTGCTCAGCCCAAAGCTCCAAACGCTTTGACAAGTTGCGGACAGGCCGTTTACTCTCGTCACCCATAGTTTCACTAACACCAGGTCTCCGTCGCAACGAGACTGGACCTTAAGGTGGTGCGACGGTTTGCGTACCTCATTGACCCATTGAGCGATACTGGGTGATGCCTCCGAGCATCTTGAAAGCTACCCTACCAGGTTGGTCAATGGTGAGAGGACACACAAACTCAGTCTCCTGGTCCTCCAGGTTGGGGGTTTGAAATGGGATGGCGTCCATTTCTGTAAAACTAAAGCATTACCACCCCGCAGCCTTGCGGACAGGCTTTTGAGCCAAAGGCTTTGGATGAGGACCCTAATCGTCCTACTGTCTAGGTCTGGGCGCCCAGGCAGTATCTCAGCCCACATACAACCATGACATTTTCTTCAAACATAGACCTCATTCTACATCGGCCGTCGCGCAGATTATCAAGGGTCGCCTTATCTGCTGCATACAGCAGGGCGGATAAGCGAAAGCATGCCACTGCTGGCGCCTCCCTTTTTTCTACTTGTTTCTCTTACTCCCATCCCGACCCCCATTACTAACCTTCCTTCTATAATCCCCCAGCTTAATTGACAGCAACCGAAGTGCTACTGGAGTAGTACCATCTGCAGCCACCACCCCACAGCACCTATCGGACGCCCATCGGCAAAAGTCCCTTATAAGTCCACGCTGTCCCGTTTCCATGGCGGCATTCAACGTCCGCACTCTAAAACAAACAGGTCAGCAGGCTGCACTCGCACGCACCTTGGGCACACTGGGTGTTGATGTGTGTTGTGTGTCCGAAACTAGGATTAATGACCCTAACCGGGTTATTGAATTGACTGCACCCGGCTTATCCTCTCGTTATTGGTTGCACGCACCCGGAGACGCCGATGCGGCACTCACGGGTCAAGCTGGTGTAGTTATCATTCTAAGCTCCAAGGCTGAGCCATCGTTGGTTGATTGGATTCTGTGGAACAGTCGTTTATGTGCAGCCCGTTTGACGACATCAGCTAAGGTGAATTCGCGAAGTAATACAAAACGCTGTTTGTTTGTGATTTCCGTTTATGCACCCACCGACTGCAGTTCTAATGCAGTCAAGGACACTTTCTATAACGAACTGAACGCCCTACTACGCAGTGTTACTAGTTCAGATATTATAGTACTTGCAGGGGATATGAACGCTCATGTAGGGCGTCTGAGCTCTTCAGAAGCTCAGCTGGGTGGTAAGTATGGACCTAACTCCGAACGGACTGACAACGGTGAGCATCTGCTGCAACTGTGTGCGGAGCACCAGTTGTTTCTTACTAGCACTGCTTTTAGACACAGTGGGCGCCGAAGTGCCACTTGGCGTCCACCTGTAGCTGGCCAGCGATGGACCCAAATTGACCACATAGCCATAACTTACAGGTGGTGCGGTTCCATTCTGCATTGCCGCTCGTACTGGAATACCTGTGTTCACTCTGATCATGCCTTGGTGCGCTGTCGTTTCTCCATGAACTTTACCGGAAGACGCACAAAGCGTCTCCTCCGATTGGCAACGGAGAAATTGTCCCAGCCCTCGGTCAGGCAAGCCTACCAAGACACACAGCATACCGAACTCTCGCTGTATTGTCCTAATGACACTGAACTTCAGTGGAATAAGATCTCGGCTGCTATGCACCACGCAGGAGCATCTGATTGTGGCACTTTCAGTCATCACCGCACCAGTCACTGGGTATCCGAGGGGTCCGTGAACCTGTTGGAAGCTAGAAGACACCTCCCGGCTGGTTCTGAACACAGTGTGACCAGACGGGCTATTAGGCGTGAACTAAAGCGGAGCCTACGTGCTGACAAGGAAGCCTGGTGGATCAGTCGGGCTCAAGAAACGGAGGAGGCAGGAACAGTAGGCAATTACCGCAAGCTCTTCCAGCTAATCCGCACCACTGGTCCCAGGGAACCAGGTGTCAGTGAGACAATCAGACACAGCGCGGGTGCGATGATACACAATAAGGAGCGCCGTATGGCTACTTGGGCGGAACGGTTTCAAGACCAGTTCAGCTGGCCTCCTGCTCCCGGACCTCTTCCTACTCAGGTGATGCAGGACGTGCCATGGACTGTTAGTTTAGAGTCTCCGTCGGAGGCCGAGGTCCGAAACGCGATCACAGCCCTCAATCGTTTTCGTGCCGCTGACCCGGATTCCCTCCCACTTGCACTATTTAAGGATGGAGGTGAGGTCCTCTGCAGGGCACTGACCTCCATATTCGAACGCATCTGGAACGAAGTGTTCCGACTAATTGGAGCGAATCGATTATGGTAGCAATATACAAAAATGGCAGTCGCACAGACTGTCCTAACCACAGGGGCACTAGCCTAACGCCAGTTGTGACAAAATTACTGGCCTCGATTCTTGTTCGTCGCCTCACTGCAGAACGGGAATCTCGGATTAGGGAAGAGCAGGCCAATTTCCACCCAGGACGTGGCTGTATACACCATATATTCACTTTGCGACAGGTGCTCGAGCAGCGCCACACATACCGCAGACCGACAATAGCTGTGTTCCTCGATTTCAAGAGTGCGTTCGATTCAGTCGATCGATCGATTCTGTTCGAATTACTTGCGTGGAAAGGTGTTCCCACGAAATATGTGAACATCTTTCGTGCTCTATACTCGAGCACTACAGGCCGCTTCAGGGTCTATAGTGTATTATCGGATAGCTTTTCGACTACAAGTGGCGTTCGTCAGGGTTGTCCGATTTCCCCATTTTTGTTCAATTTCGTCGTGGATTCTATCATGGAGTGTTCCCTTGCGGAATCCCACGATGTAGGCGTTGAAGTTCTGCCTGGTGAAAGGTTAGTTGATCTAGATTATGCGGACGATATCGTCTTGCTTTTCGACAATGTTGTGGCGGCACAAGAGATTGCCACTCGTCTCTTCACACCCATTGTACGACCGGTGCTGGAATACGGCTCACCCGCCTACTGTCCGTTGACGAAAGGCGAGATACACAAGCTCGAAAGAGTACAACACATAGCCACACGGCTCATTCCCGGTCTTCAGGG